AATTAACACTTGGAGGTTTATATGTAACAACAACCGTTACTGAAAGGTGATTTATAAGTTTGACTTTATAAGTTGGAGTTTAGTTAAGTAAAATATTTAAACTTAAAAATCTCTAATCAAATACTGTGGTTCCACAGTTAAAATTCAATGTGATTTGCATCAAAGCACAATAAAACATTTTAATAACATTCTTTTTGTGTTTTCTTTTTCATACATTGATAAAATTATGAATAAAAAGAAGATTATTCGGTTTATTATCTGATTAATAATAAGAAAATGTCTCTTTACTGTTTAAGAAAATCTGTCATGGTTCTAACTGGAACAGAGTTCTGTCTCTTTAAAGGAGGCCTTCTGAGACCAGGGTCAAAGACAGGTTTAGCTGTTTAGGTGGTGAGGTGACCACTACAATAACATTATGTGAATCTCATGCAGTATCACAAGATCTCACACTCAACTTTAGCTCAATATCTGTAAAATAAACTGAATTATGGCCATTTATATGTTTTGTTTAAGGCTTTGGTAGCCATGTTTAATTGGGTTGGCTCAAAAGTTAATCACTTGTAAATGTAAGTTCAGTGGTTACTTCATTTGACTTTTATTAAAGTTTGCCAAGTTCATGAGATATTTTGCTAACAGACACATAACATAACATAACATAACATAACATAAACATTGGGAAAAACATTGTTTCTTGCCTTTTCCTTTTGCTGGAAGGTGATAAATATAACAATGATCAGGTATTTGTTTCATTATCTGATTGTGTACACAGACAAAGTATAAACTCTGTTCATTCAGAGGTTTTGGAGGCACAAGGTTTCTGCTTGACAGCAACAAGAACAGCTATAAAATAAAGTCATAAAATCAAATTAAACTTTTCATTTGCTGTGCAACACCATTTCAGTTAGTTCTTAAAATATCTAAATCTTATATTTAGAATGTTTAGTTGTGTATTTTTTTACATGGTACCTTTAGTGATTTATTACAGGTATGTCTTTTTCCTATGGTTAAAAATGTCGGAAAAATCCTGCCTGATGTTTGTGTCTGTTTTGTTGGTTTCTGTTTTCAGATGGAGGTGCAGGTGGAGGAGCAGGCAGCAGAGGCTCAAAAAGAGAAGAAGCTCAGAGAACGGAATGAACAGTACAGCAGACAGCTGGAGGAGGAACTTGAAGGGCTGAAGGTGACTGTAGATGACAGTTATACGGTATTAAAAGAGTCTCTACACATCMTTAAAGTTCACAGTACAGAGGAATGAGACAAACAAGCCTGTTTCTCTCCTAATTCAGGTGAAGCAGGCCGGCTCCTCCGTTGCCCCAGCATCAGCAGACCAGACCCATGAGTTGGGCCGCCTGCGTGCAGAAATGGAGAAGAAAACCCTGTTGTTCGAGGAGGAGTTGTCGCGCAGAGAGGCACAGCATAGCACCGAGCTGAAGGCCCTGCGCAAAGAGCTGCGAGATGCTGAGAGCCAACAGCTCACTCTACAGAAGGAGATCCTGATGCTCAAAGACAAACTGGACAAGATACGCAGAGAAAGGTACCTCGATAATTTAACCACCTCCTTATGTTTTAGTCCTATCTTCTCAGTAAATGTCTAAACCTTTATCTGTTTCTTTTTCTTGGGTTGTTTTTCCAGTGACAATTCAGTGAGGTAAATACAGGAGTTTAAAACTGTTTTCATCTCTAGTCTGGTAAAGTCTTTTTGTCTGATGATGTAGTGACTCCAGCGTTTAAGAGATTTGTGCTTGTTTACATCTCATTTAGGAAACATTCTTTTCTAGGACATCTAATTTGTTTTTCCTGAAAAAACAAACTGTATTTTCACTTGAGAGAAAACAATTCTGTTCTCAGATCCTGTGCATCACATCAATGTGTTTAATTGAAACAACGCTATAACTTTCAAAAAATGACCATTAAAATCTTTTCTGATTAAACATTATCTGACGACAGAGTACAGTATTTTTGAATTGTAAACATCAATAAATTCTAGTCAGAATATATATATA